AATAAATAAATAAATAAATAAATTTATACAATGTCAAAGGAGTCCTATAGTAGCCAGCACTGGCACAGGGGCTTCCTGAGCCAATTTTTGGCTACAGTCTTGAAACACAGTCAATAAAATGTAAACTAAAACATAGTTGAAAATTAATATGCATAGGACTAATAGCTAGTGTGGATGGCATGTAGAATTTAATTAGTAGCAAAGAAGTTAAAACAGACACATTCCTATTTTATGATTGTTCATCGCCCAGAGTCACTTGGTTGAGTTGGGCAGCTACAGAAATTAAAATAAATAAAGTAAAAGACAAAGTAAAAACTACCATTGTGTACCTTCAATGTAAATTTTCACTGCTGATGTAAAGGATGGCATCAATCAATCTGACCTTCAAAGTGGCTATGGCAACTCATCTCATTGTATTTTTATGGAAAACCTCGGCTCTATGGTGCTATTTATGAAGTGACAGGAAAAGTGGATCCTTTATGGAATGTTTCCTTTCCCTAACACCATTAAAGTGTCTTCAAATATTAATTACATTCAAAATTCAAATGCTGCTATAATGTTTTGGTAGATGAAATGTGTCCACCAACTAAGGGAAAAGCAAAATATCCAGATGAAGTAGTCTGCAGTCCATAAAAGATTGCTATAATAAATCTGCTTATACTTAAGGTGTTTTTATTGTTTCTAAAATGTTTTCATAGAAGTTAACAGCTAACAAAACATCTTATAGTATACTTTTTCTTTAAAAAAATATTAACTTGAAAAAAGAAGGTTAGAAAACAACCTTGCAACATGGGACAGAAAACCTACATAGTATCCTTAAATACTTAATTAAGCTTATTATATTATTAGAGAATTAACACAAATGTGAGACAGTCAACTACTGGCTATGGGTCAGAGGCAACTAAAACTAAACAGATTGTTCACATACATGCACTGAGCGCACATACACAAAATGTGTTGTTTGAACGTGAGGTTTCATATTGTATTTACTCACAAATAATCATTTTTCAGCTTTCAACACTGATATTCAAGGTCACTTCACAAATTTTGTTTGTAAGCAAATGATGATGTTTTAAATATTTTCCTAAAAACTTGAAAGAGTAGATGCAAAAAATGCCTTCTCACAAACACATGTGTTGTACAGGAACATTAACCAGGGTGCTGTGACTCACCGCAACTCTCTGCTGAATATATATCCTCTGGAAAATCAAAGTTTGCTATCACACAATTGACCTAAGAAGGTACCCAATCAAAGCATAATGAAAGTTTTGTTATGCAAGAATTGGGTTCAACTATAGTTAAATGACCAGAGGTACAGAGAGAAAAATCGTAACTATATTATATTCTTAGTATTAAGAAGTACTGCTCTCTCCTCTAATTAAAGATGATCAGACAAACTGGCCCACAGAGATAAACTAAAAGGCAACCAGTAGAATAATGCAAAATAGACATCCACAATCTCTTGAAGTGTAAATGCATTTTAATATAACAAGAGGTTGCAGTCGAAACAGAGGTGGGAGTGGGTGTTTTCTAGCGCTGAATGGACTTGCAGGGAATGTGTGCCTGGGGTGGTTCAACTTCATGATCAACTGTAAACTGATTATTTTGGTTTAACATCTCAAGTTAGAAACAATGGTTTACAAATCGCCCAAATTTAAAGTAAGCTCCAAGGAAATCAATGGAACTTCTTCCCTTCCAGATCAGTACATATGCTGTTACCCCTCCAAGTGCAAGTTACAGAAACAACATCTGTCATCTATCTATCTATCTAAAACACATGTACATTATGGGTATACCAATGTGTCTGCAGTGGACACATGGCCTTTCTTGTTTATTACAGGGGATTTACAAAAGGCATGATCACCTCCCCTATCCTTACTTAGTTACACTGACGTTTACAGCAGAAACCTGTGGCTTTTTATATATAAAGGTTGCAAAACCGCAAACACCATTTGTGCCTTTTTTGTTTTTAAAATGGCAGTGCACAGAAAAGAATTCATGCCCAACCTTTAAATGGCATATGAAGCTTTAGATTTGAGTATCACTTCTTCTGAGCACCCATCCAAGCTGATCTATCTTCTCTCTTTGCAGAGCAAACTGTGGTGGACAAAATGACTTATCAGTTTCAAAATCTGCACTGCTTTCCAAGTTTGCCCTCTAATTCATTCACAGCTAGTGTCATAATGTAGTGTTTAATTATGTTAAGATACTGTTGCAAAGTTTTGCATTTTTATATGTACTTGCCAGGGGTCAATTCTTTATGGAGTTTTAGTGGAATTTGCTTCCAAGCAATTCTACATAAGAATGGGATGATATCCATAAACAGTAGCAGGAGGTAAGAATCCAGCTTCTGCCCAATTTTATGCATCCTTTACAGGGAAGTTCCAGAAATGGACAAGAATTGCTTTCAGGATGGCAGACTGAAGGAGCTTTTTTATCCAGACCTAATGAACTTATCTTAGATAACAAGTCAAGATACCGGAACACCATTCTGTTGCATATACAATTTAAGCCTGGAAACGATATTGAGCAAAAACTGCCGGCTTCCCCAGGAGCTGAGGATGTACGTTTTTCTTCGGAGCCGCCAGGTTTGGCGGGGAAAGAAAACAAAGCAAGGCACAGGAGAGCGGAGGGGGCGGGGGGGG